TGGGAGCCACACGCCTTTAATCCCAGCGCTAGGGAGGTGGAGACAGGAGTGATATAGCTGGGCAGAGAAAGGAAGATAAGGCAGGAGGAGACAGGAGCTCAGAGCATTCAGTCTGAGGATTTAGGTAGAGGTAAGAACTAGTGGCTGGCTGCTTTGCTTCTCTGATCTTTCAGCATTTACCCCTATACATGGCTTGGCGTTTTTATTAAGACCAATTAGAATTCATGCTACAAACAGGTAATAAAATGTGCCACATATACACCACAGCATAGTCTTCATTCTTTTCAAAGTAAATAGGTGCTGTGTACATAGCACAAAGGATAGAGCATAGCCTAGCATACCAGAGGCCCCTAGTTCGCTCCCATCACTGCCTTAAATGGGTTGATGAAGACTCCAGAGTGATGGAGGATCAGGACATCAGCCTCATGCTTGACCTCAGCCCACTAGAGGCGTACCTGGGTGACATCAGACCCAGAAGGGAAGTTGGATCCTTCTTCTTTCAGGGTTGGAGAGAAGCTGCTCCAGAGGACCTGAGTTCAGTTCCCAGAACCCGTATTAGGCAGCTCATAGTACCTTGCAACTCCAGCTCCATGGGATCTAGCATCTTCTTCTAACCTCTGCAGGCAATTTCACTGTTGATGTACACATACACACACACACACACACACACACACACACACACACACACCATATATATATGGACTAGAGCTATGTCTCAGTGTTAACAGTATGCACTGCTTTCACAGAGGACCTCAGTTGTCTCCCAGGACCTACAATAGACAGCTCACGGTTGCATATAACTCAAGCTTCAGGAGCTGTGAGCTCTCTTCTGAATCCCAAAGGCTCCTGCACTCATGTGCACATACCCACACTCACATACACAAACATGAGTAATGCACATGCCTACACATGTGCCCATAATTAAAAGCTAATCTTAAAAATATTTTAAGGGAAATTTATATGTGTGTGAGATAATAAACATGCTAATTACTTTAACTTAGCCATTCCACATGTATGCATACTCCTAAGTATCATGTTGACACCATCAACACAGATCATTTTTACTGACAATTTAAAGAACACTAGCAACAATACAGTAAAAATGACAAGAGCAATAACACAAATATTAATAACAATGAATCACCAATGGCTTTGCAAAAACAGAACAGAACAAAACTGAATCAAAGGCATAAATGTCAGAGTTACAAATACAAACTCCGAGAATAAAACATAAAAGTAAAACCTTGTGGCCTCATCCTAGACAAGGGCTTCCTGGATACAAAGCTAAAAAGCATGAGGAACAGCAGCACAAATGAGCAAACTGTGCCTCATCAAATTTGAAAGGCTTGGCTCTGGGAGTGTGGCTTAGTGGTAGAGTTTATCTAGCACAGACAACGTCCCTGGTTCTGTGGTTCTGCCGCTAGCACCATAGAAATTGTTTTCCATATTTTTGTTTGTTTTGTTTTCCAAGACAGGGTTTATCTGTGTAGCCTTGGCTGTCCTGGAACTAGCTCTGTAGATCAGACTGGCCTCAAACTCACAGAGACTCTTCTGCCTCTGCCTCCCAAGTTCTGACATTAAAGGTGTGCGCAACCACTGCCTGGCATTTTTTAAAATTTTTAATTGGAGGTTTTCATGCTTCAAAGGCTACTATAAAGAAAACTTAAAAGTTAGCTCACATGATGGAAGAAAAAAATGCAGCTCATACATTTGAAAAAGGATTTTTCAGTTCATCTCTGCTATCGTAACAAAATACTTCAGACTGGACGGCTATAGTAGAAATTTATTTCTCACAGTTCTGGCATCTCAGAGTCCAATATCAAGGTGCCTATAGCTTTGATGTCTAGTAAAGGCTGGCCTTAAACTCTCCATGATGACCAGGCTGGCCATAAGCTACTTATCTTCCTGCCCTCACCATCCAAGGGCCAGGATAGCAGGTGGGCATGCCCATATCTGGCTTTACGCTTTGCTTTTGAAGTACCTCCTTATTAATGTGTCTTCACATGGTAAAAGACAGAAAGTATGAAAGGACTCACTCTCTCCCTTACACCCTGATATGAACACTAACCCCTTTCATGAATACAGAGTCCTCATGCTAAACCAATTATCTTCCAGGGGCCCAAAGTCTTTCAATATCATCATCTGTCCAGGTCATCCTATAAATGTCCCTGGTCACTTTCTATCTGCAGTGTGTTTTAAGACCAAGAATGACTTTGGATGTTTGTAGAAATTAGATTTTTAAAGTTACCCTTTCCATTTTTCGTTCGTCTGTTTGTTTCTGACCATTCCTTTTGTTTGCCAAATCCCAAATCTCTGGCCAACAGTTATTTCACAGACATTTACTATGGAGTGGTAAATGGCTGTTAACATCCCCAGTTTCAGATGCTGGTGAACGCTCATGATAAATGGGGGAACAGAACAAAGCTTGTTCTGTCAAGGCGCTGCTACCAAGGACCATGTCTGGCATGGCCTCCATGGCAGCAAGGCCCTCAGACACCTGTTTATTATAGCTCCAAATTGGAACTACCCAAATGCCCACTAGTAGGCAGAATGGATATAAACAGGTATTGTATTCTATTTCATTGCCAAAGGTGAAAGAAATACTTCAAAATACAAAATGGCATGAGAAAAAACAAAAGTGTTCCAATATCTACCAAAGTTTTTCAATATCACATAGGTTCACACGTACATAGCTTAGTAAGGAACTCATATTCAAAATACATGAAGAATGCTTATAATGTCTGCCTTAGTGAGGGTTTCTATTGCTGTGAAGAGACACCATGACCACAGCCACTCTTATAGAGGAAAAAATTAATTGGAGTTAGCTTACAGCTTCAGACATTTAGTCCATTATCATCATGGAGAGAAGCATGGCAGCATGCAGGCAGACATGGTGCTGGAGAAGAAGCTAAGAGTTCAACATCTTGATCTGCAGGCAGTAGAAGGAGATGGTATGTCACACCGGAAGCATCTTGAGCATAGAAGACCTCAAAGCCTGTCCCCCACAGTGACACACTTCCACCAACAAGCTCACACCTACTCCAATAAGGCCACATCTCCTAATAGTGTCACTCCCTATGGGCCAAGCATTCAAACACATGATTCTACTGGGGGCCGTATCTATTCAAACCACCACAAGATCATAATAAATGACAACTCCATGGAAACACAATTCAAGGATTTAAACTGACATTAAAGAGGATGCATGCGATGAGTAAGTATGTAAGACATCAGCATCATTTCATATCATGGAACGGCAAAACAAATTCACAGTGAGATGCCACTTACCACATACCGGGGTTGAAAAAAGAAATCAAAACAGGAGGCGATTATGGAGAATTTGGACTCCTCATGCCCTACTACTGGGAGTACAAAATGGTGCAGCCACGTTGTATCGGGGAGCTCAGCTGGTAAAGGTGGATGCCTGCAAACTTGATGGCCGAGTTCAGTCTAAGAAGCTATATGATGAAGAGGAGAACTAACTCCCTAAAGCTGTCCGTTGACCTCCACACACACACTGTCTGTGCATACACACACCTACACACACACAGAGCAAATACAAAACAGAACAAATGTAAAGGAATAGAGCTCTCATGTGACCCAGAAATTCTACTCCTCAGTTAAAATCAAGAAAAGTTAAAAGTATGTCTTAGAGATGACTTGCATATGAATACTCACAGCTTTCATTTTTATAGCCAACACGTCAGATTGCTCCAAATGCCCCCCAACAGACAAGAAGCTCCATAAGGTGGGGTATGATTCAGCTGCACAAGAACGGGGTACGGAGGCCGGCTACAAGGATGAACCCAATGCCACAGAACACAGACACTAAAGCCACACATTTTATGCTTGCACTTGCATGGACTACCTCAAACAGTGGAAAGCAGACACAGAGACAGATAGAAAGCAGGTCACTGGTTGCCAGAAACAAGGTAAAATGAGGGACAAAGAGTGGTTGCTAACAGAGTGGTTTTTATTTTTGGTTTTTGAGGTATGGTGAATGTGTTTTAAGGGTAGGTCCTGGTAGCAACTGCACAAGTGAACACGGTAAGAACCACTGGAGTGATTTAAAAGGGTGAAGTTTATGACATATGAGCGACATCCCAACAAAGCTGTTACTTTCAGAAGTGTATTGTCTGAGGGGACAGATCCATGTGTGCCACACCTCAAATTAATCCTCTCTCTCTGTCTCTCTGTCTCTCTGTCTCTCTCTCTGTCTCTGTCTCTCTCTCTGTCTCTCTCTGTCTCTCTGTCTCTGTCTCTGTCTCTCTGTCTCTCTCTCTCTCTCTCTGTCTCTCTCTCTCTGTCTCTCTCTCTGTCTCTCTCTCTCTCTCTGTCTCTCTCTGTCTCTCTGTCTCTCTCTCTCTCTGTCTCTCTCTGTCTCTGTCTCTCTCTCATTTCCCCCCCCAAACTTATTTTTGTAGATTTATGCATCTTTGGACTGGAAATGGCTTTAGCCGTCTTATTTTTATTCTGAGTTGATAAAGGCCAGCCAGCAAAGTTACTTTGACTAATGAAATATGTCACATGGACTGCTTTAACCTTCCTGTGAAGCTCAGAGGGAGCGACAGAGGCGATGTGCCGAGGCAAGAACCAGCCTTGTAAATACAGCCTTTTATACTGATGTCATTTTTTACAGGGTTACAGGCCATACAAAGCACAAGTGTGTACCCTTTCTCTCCAGCCCCTCCTCTAGCTCTCCATGCAACTTTAACAGAATTGAATTCCGTTTCTCCCTTCACCAATTTAACTCACTCCGGTAAGAGTGCCGTCGCCCTCTCTTCTCTAAGGGGATGAGATAATTGTCTGATAAAACCTTAAAGTGTGTGTGGAAAGCCTTGCTTCCTGCTATGGTCTGAACAGGACGCAACCCCCACTGTCCCACCCACACTGGGCTGCTTCGTTGCTTTTGGTGAGCCTTTAGGAGGTGGTGCAAGCAGAGAATTTGGGGCGTGGCCCAAGCCTTTATAACCCAGCCCACTTCCTGTCTGCTCTTTGCTTCCTGTTCCGCCTACACCAGAGGAAGTGCACTGGTCTACAACTGCACGTCAGCCTGCCGCCGTGCCTCCCCCGTCATAATGAAGGCTGCCTTCAGGCTGTGAGCCAAAGTAAGCCCTTCCTCCATTAAACCACCTCTTGTCCAGTATTTGCCTGACACAGCAACAAGACAAATCACACTCCTTCGTTGACTTAACTCACTTCTGTAGAGCCCTGTTGGCTTCGTCCTTCATCCTCGAATCTCCTTCCAGAACCTGGGGTGGAAAGAAATCTGGGGCTTATTTATTCATTTACTGGTTGTCTTATTTATTTATTATTTATTTAATGCTCTCCAAGGCCAGCTGAGCAGCTAAAGTCCATGCAAATGGTTAAAACTCATTACTATCAAAGCACTAACTTGGCTTTCTCCTTTCAGGAGCTTCTAATGAAAAAGCAAGCCGCACTTTCCAGTGAGGATTTTCAAAGGAGTCCACAGTATTGGAAAAAATATTAAAATTGAGAAGAAAAATCCACGGAAATAGATGTACATGTTCCAAGAGCAATGAAAGAAGGGAAATGAGAACACAGAAGGAAACACTCCATTCTTGGAGGAGAAAAAAAAAAACACATCACATTTCTTTACCACTCTGGTCAAATTGTCATTGAATTCTGGCAAAATTAGCAAAGAAAAGAGCTGGACCTACCCGGCTTCTCACATGCCATCTAAAAGAACTTGTAAGATAGCTGCCATAACCCATATCTAACAGAAGTGAGGTCAGAGGCATTCATGTTTCTTATTCTTTATCGTAGTCTGTCCCTTCTATTATAACAAAATACCTCAGGCCTGGTAATTTACAAAAAAATAAAATGTTTTCCCAGGTCCCGAAGCTGTAAACAATCTTGGTGTCTGCTGAGGATTCATTCTGCACTTCAGAGATGGTGCCTTCAGGGGAATCGGCCCTGTGCAGAACAGCCTCATGTGGTGGAAGAATGGGAAGGAGAAGGCTTAGTGCCCCACTGTCTCTTTCTGAGAGCATCTGATCCAAGGTCCTGATTATTCCCAAAGGATCACTGAACACTACTGTAATATTAAAAAACAACAGCAACAACAACAACCCTCAGCTCTCTCATTCTTAAAGAGAATAAGAGACAGTATATTCCAGAGCCATTTTGAGTGACCACAGTCCAGGAACTCAAAATTCCATGTTCCAACATGGAAACAATTTTGTGGCATTTTTATTGTTTTATAGAGCAAAGAGTGACATAAATGAAGGCAAGTTTAAATTGCATTGGTAGGTATATCAGAGAGGCAGGTACAGCCAGATGGGGGAAGCTTTTCTGTAACCCCAAGATGCTATCTGATGACAGCATTAGCTTTGGGGTTAGCAGGAGCTAGTGATCTGCTCAGTTAGTAGATTCAGAAAGGTTTTTAATCTGTTAGTCACAAGATGTTAGTTCTGACACAGAGGTGAACAAGGAGTAGCTGTTCCAGAGGGCAAACTAGCCCAAGACTAGGTAACTGGACATGCAATACCCCAGTCTACCCACAGTTCTGGAATTCTAATCCATCAGCCTCCGCAGACACAACTTCTTCCCTGGAGTTTTCATTCATGATTTGTGGAAGGGACACAAACATTCAAGCCACAGCAGACTTCTTCTTTTACTCTCAAGATAAGATGCCAGAAAACTGCATGCGCAGAGTTGTGATCTTAACACTGTAGCTGACTTGAACACTCTAGAAGGGATAATCGGTTTGTGATGTAAGTACAGTACAGTGTGCCTTACCACCTATAAAATGTTGTAATCAGTCCCATCGCTGGAAGTTGTAGCTAGTGTTCCCAAAAGGCTGAGGGGCTGTTTCCCAGAGAAATTAACTTTTGTCTCTGTTGGTGGTTGTTGGTTGGTTGACAGGGTCTCATGTAGCCCAGGCTACCCTCCAGCTCTATGTAGCTGAGGGTGACCCACAACACTGGGATTGCAAGCATGTGACACCATGCCGGGTTTACCTAAGTATGTGCATGCTAGGCATGTACTCTACCAACTGAGTTGTATTGCAGCCCAGGAAAAGATAGGATCTGGCTAGGTAAAGAAACAGATCTGAGAAGCAAAGAAAACAGAATTACCAGGTGGAGCCAAACCCTGCAGAGCCAAACTCTGGGCAAAGCCATCTAGATCTAATTTTGCAAAAGGCACAGTGCAGAGCCATTGGAGAGTTTACCACTAGGGAAGACTAATTACATAGTAACACCTTTTCTGCAATTTCAGCCAGAATATGAGCTTTTTTCAATTGAGCTAATTCTCACATTTAAAAGCATGACTCCCTGTAAGCCACTGCTCTGTGGCATGTTGCATTTAACATGAGTTGAGTGCTATTTATAGATGTTCATTTGTTATCTGCATGGATATGTTTATCAGTCTAAAGGTACCCTCTGTTGCAACATTTATAAAAATCAATTTGGGGGAGGGGTGTCCTGAAAGAATGAATGTTCAGCAGTTAAGAGTGGATACTACTCTTCCAAAGGACACAAATTCATTTCCCAACAGTCATGCCCACTGGCTCACAATCATCTGCAACTCCAGCTGCAGGGGTCCCAGGCCCTCTTCTGGATCCCAAGGCCCCCTGTGTCCATACCCATCCACAGAAACACACACATATACAGGTAATTTTAAAATAGTGAAACAAAATCTTAAAAGTAAAACGAGGCTAGAGAGATGTCTCAGTAGTCAACAGCTCTAGTTGTTCTTCCAAAGGACCCAGGTTCAATTCCCAACACCCACGTGATGGCTTACAACTGTCCCGAACTCAAATTCCGGGTCTCCAGTGCCCTCTACTGGCCTCTCTGACACCAGGCACCTATGCAGTGCACAGGTTTTCCTGCATGCAAAACCCCCGTACACATAAAATAACAATAAAATAATAATAAATTCAATAAGTGATCATCAGACTCCAGTTATCTTGCTTCTGTTCTAACCAAATATTTATCAGGCACACGTGATTTTTTTTTTATGGAAATAAAATCTAGCCAGACCCAAGCCAGGGTTAAGTGATTTGTCTTCTATACACAGATGAGATTCTGACGTCAAGGAAAACAGCAAAGGCAACTTCCTTAATTAAAAGAGTCAGAAAGTGGTGACAGCACGGCTATGCCGCTCTGAATCTGCCAATCTGCGTTCCCAGGTCGAAGGGCAATGCTGGCCCAACGTTTACTTAGGAGAATGGTAAATCATCCACCACGCATGGCTCAGCCTCTTTCCAGGATAGTTTTCATGGGATTTAGAAAGCCTGGTCCTGGGCTCTGGTTATGGGAACTGAGTATGTGGGCTCAGGGGACTGCTGCAGATAGTTTTCATCAGGTAAAGCGCTCCTTCATTGTTTTCATGGTGTAATATGAACTTCCGGCGACTTCTCAAAGCTGCTGCGAGGGGAAAAGCCGGGGCTGGATCGCAGGTGATCTGGCGGAGTGCCCGCCCAGTATCAAGCAGTCGTTGGTTCTGCTCCTATAACTTGGGTGTGGCGGTACACACCTGTAATCCCCGTTCTGGGAAGTAGAGGAAGGAAGATCAGGAGTTCAAGGCCATCCTCGAGCTGTATATCAAATTCCAGTTCTGGTTGGGAATCATGAGACCCTGTGTGCTAACGGGGATGGGGGGTCATTGAAAGCTCTCCTCGTTAATGAAAGGGAGAACATCTTTACTACCTGAACATTTTAGTTTATTTTAATTGAAAGGCAAGAGGAGGAGGAAGAGGAGGAGGAGGAGGAGGAGGAGGAGGAGGAGGAGGAGGAGGAGGAGGAGGAGGAGGAGGAGGAGGAAAGAAAGAAAAGGGCCAAAGGTTTGCTCTTTTGAAAGCACTTTGTGTTGAACTGCCCTTAAGGTCACGGAACAATCCACCCCCACACTGCTTCAAAAACTGGGATAGGGCAGCAAGGACCTTCTTTTGCACTCATAACCTCAGAATCAGTGCGCCTCAGGGGAATACAGGAACACCAGGCATGTTTCCTTGCCAGCTAGAAGCAAACTCTAAGACAACTAAACAGACAAAAGTCTTGGTATTTTCACCAAGAAATAAATACTGTTCCAGGGAAGAAACTTCTGGTCTCATCCTCTTTTAACTGAATTGCATTTTAGTCCCAATTAACTCATAATTACATTAGACATTAGAGAGAAAGACTTCAAAACAAAACTTCCGACAGTTTTAAATACACTGCACTTACAAAGCCTTCAGCCTGGCCCCTGCCCCTTGCGAGTCGGCCTCCTATTTATAGTCCAGCAAAATTAAGTTAGGCTCCCGGTGCCTGGCTGCCCTGTAGACTATTAGTTTGCAAATGCGTTCATTAAATGGCAACATTCGTTTGGGGGTGGAAAACCTTCTGTTTCATCTTTACAGGAGAGTCCACTGGGTAGATTTAAAAATAAAACCAGGAGAGCAAATAAGATAGCTCAGAAGCAAAGCTTACTGTCTTGTGGTTATTGAGTGACAAGCCCACTGTGACAGCGAGGATCGCTTGGTTTGGCTCTTTTGAACCAGCACTGAAGGGCCCACGCAGTAGATGACTCCAAAGGTCCCTTAACTGGGGACACTGCTGTGAATTCCGAGTGCTGCTTGCCTTCTGCCTCGGAGGACAGTCAGGGCAGTCACTAAAGAAAAGAAGCTCTTGTCCGAATCACAGGAAACCTGAAGCTGATGTCAACACATCTGTTCTCAGCTGCGTGTTTGTTATTGCCAGTTCTGGAGCGGGTGGATAGCGGGCGGGGGTGCAGGGGTGTCAGGTCCGCTATGGTCAGTTTCCCATTCTTCCAGCCTGAAGTTTAAGCGTCTTCCTAAAACTCCTCAGAGACACTGAGCCCAGCAAATGCTGTAAAATCAATTTACTCTCCATCCGACTCCGTTTCCCTTTCAAATGTATTTTGGCATTTTCTCTGAAGCACTGTGAAGAATTTCTGACTGCCTTCTTCTTTGCAGATTAGGGGGAAAACCGTAAAGAAATCTTATTTGAGGTGGTGTGATTATCAAGCTGTTCTG